ATTTATATAGAAATTCTGTTTTGTCAAATATTAATTTCATTGATTTATTTTTCGTTTAACTAACTCTGTTTAAGAAAATGTAAACTCGGGTATAATCTGACGTTTTTCTGCATCTAATGCACCCAGTGTTCAGAAATGCGTACATCGCGCTGTTTAAGGTACAAAATTGTACGTGTCTGTGTACGTAGTTGGTGATAAAAAAATGCAGAGACTCGTATAAAGTCCTTGTCCGAAAGCGCACCACAAGTCGTCGAGAGCCGCACACACGTGGGCGCCGCAACCTTATAAGGATGCCCATAAGGAGCCTCTCTCGGCTCACCAAACCTCACCTTGCCTTATCTTATCTTACGTCATTTGCCGTCCTCGTCCGTCGAACGCTCTAATGTCTTGCATCCCAACGAAATCCATTCGCTCGCCTGCTCGCGTGCACTCCTGCGTGTAGCCCAAATTCTACTTTCCCTTGTTGCCACAGCATTACTACAATTCTTCCCACACATAGACCAGACTTAAAAAATCGGCTCTTATCGCTTTGTTCGAACATCACGATATATTCGAAACTAAGTTGGGTTTTACGAAAAGATATTGTATATGTGGCTTTCGACTCGTTTCTAAGCGTTTTTAAAGTGTATCCAAGCAAGTATCACGCGGATTATTGTATTTCTTTTTCGTAACAGCTTTTGATGAGCTTTTATGAGAGAAATATTATAAAACTGAAATATTGTAAAGAATGTTTTAAATTAAATTTTTTATGTTTCTTTAGTTGTAAAGGTGTTTTTTAGACTTCTATCACTTTATTTTTTTCCACTTTTCTAATATTAATTACGTAATCTATTTTTAATAATTAACAGTCCCGAAACTTCAATATAATTCATATACCAATATGAGAAATCACTTTGTTTGGTTTCGTTTAATTCTCTTTCATTCGGCCACGTGTATTTTGATTTCTTAGAGCGTCTCCAGAAAGAGGTAATTGGCGAAAAAAATTTGCATCTGCCGGGCAACGCAGACGGAATTGGAACGACCGTGAGTCGCGATAGAAAGTAAATCGGAGGCGGTACACAATGGTCTCGCGAACATCTCTTTTCAAGCGTTATTCCCATCGCTGGAGAATGCGCGAGAGCAGGAAGCGAAACTGTCGGTCCGTCGTTCGTCCACGAACGATTAAACAGTGAAACGTTCACGTGACATCGCTGCCGTTAAATAGCAAAGGCGACTGCATCGATCTCTCATTTGCATCGCGCGCATCGATTTTCGGCAAAACTGCAATTTTGTCGAACAGGAATTTCTATAACGCGCAAGACTATCGACGTAAGCAGCATTATCGTTGAATTCCACTTAAATCCTGATTGATCGCGAATTGTGATCCTTATTCTTTATTAAAAAGTCTATGACATAATTTAGCTAGGAAGCAGGACTTAATCTATGTGGGTCGCGTATACTAGGCATGCCAAGTGCATTATTTTATTCTGCGGCTTCAAGAAAATTGTGAAAGACATTGTAGATGAAATATAGTAAAGCGGTTGTCAGAGATCACCACGTGTAATACAAGAAGGGCGATACGCTCGATTTTGGCATTTCGCCAAGGCACGCTCGATACTTGTCTTTATCAGTTTTACGAAGAAAACGGGACATTGTTCGACAGCGGTTTCACCTTCACAGAATGTGAGAACTTTAAGCGCATACGGGAATCGGAAAACATTGCTGGAAAGTGTGATAATTTAATGTAACGCACAGTTATGCGAAGTACCGTTTGTTATACATAGATAACATTCTATTTACTGTATAGGGGTGCTATTTGCAAATTGCCATTACTAATAACTTCCGCCGTTTTCTGCCAATCATTTATTTACAGAAAATCCAATTTGTTCCTTTCTCCTTTTCATTAGTGCTTTTGAATGCAACTATGTGGGCACGTGTACACACACATACATACTATCGTAGCTCGTTGAACATGGTAGTCAGCTGTTTGGCATCAGTGCCCGTTGGTAACCCAGCTGAAGAACTTGGTATTTGAGCTAGACTTCGTCAGGTCGGTAACAAGCTCGAGTTCTCCAGCAAGTGGCGGTTCTCCGTGTCTTCGTCGAGAACTAAAGAAGGTCGGTCTTTTTCTTCCACCTACGCAACCACATGCGTGATATTCATTCACACTTCTGTGTAGCATTTAGTTAAACTCAACCGCATGAAGAAAAAAGAAGCATTCAGTATAAAAATGCAGTTGAATATAGATGTTTATTTTGAGAGAATGTCTGTGTAAACATTCATTTATCGCTAATGAATTTGTTCTTATTAATTATTTAGCTGATTTTTAACATTTTTTAGAGCTTAGTTATTTATTTATATTTTTGCTCATTTAGGCTAAAAGTTCTTATTTATGTTTTAACTTTGCAAAGTATTCGCTAGATTTACACAATATAATTTTTTCATTTTCATTTTGTTGATGTCGACGATATTTGAGGTGTATTGAGTGATAATCAGCATCAATGTACACACATATTGTACAAAGTATCATTCCCTTTAAAGTCTGCTTTGCATCGACGATATAACGTAACATCATGTCCGCTTTACACAGGACGGATCTACGGCAGGAAGCCGCTGCTTAAATTTAATGTTCAATAGACCGTGCGGCTGGACCCCCGAACCGAGCATTTTAATGCCTCGTTTAATCGGGATGCAACTGAAATGCATTTGAATCGAAATCAGAGTGGTGACGCGTGCCGATCGAATCACCATCTCCACTGTTATTTCCGTCACGATTTTGCTATAGTATTCTGCATGAATATATACATCTGATTGTTCAGACAAACAGATAATTGATTAATCAAATTTTATCACTAACAATTACGTTGATTAAATTTTTTTCAAAAGTTATTAATTCTGTATTTTTGTAGATATGATTAATTCTTTTATAATACAAGAAGTTGTAATTATTTTAATTAATTAATATTGAATTCAAAAACTTATGTAACTAGGATCAAGATTTTATATAAAAATTCAGAAGTTGAGGCATAGCGAAGAGAAAAATACTTACGACGATCGTACCTGTCGAAGGGAGGAACACGTATTTCCGCGATGCAGCAGTTAGAGCTGCATGTGTAGAAAAGGCTCGACTTCCGAGTGCACTGTAAATAAATATGGGCTCGTACCGAGTGGTCACGCATCGGGAGCCTCGAGTCACACATCGCGAATACTAGATGAGCCTGGTATTACATATACCGTAAAAGATCGACGGCGATCTATCAAGTTGCCCGAGATATATTTCTCCTTCAAGGTTTGGAATCTTTTCTGTGTACATATTTGAAATAATGCGATTCAAGACTCGGCGGGATTCGAAATCGCCTTATATGTCTGGGACGAAGCTTCTTAAAATTGAGCCGTCAGAGTAAAGTATCGACAGAAAATTCATACTGTGATATATTGAGAAAATACTTTTTACAGAACTTACATTAATTCTTAATCAAAAGTATATATTCTTTTGCAAAAAAATTGATTCTAAACTTGCCAAATTTATAAAATAAATTACATATTCTCAAATTTTTTATTTTCTACTTATTACTACAATTGTATTAGACGCTGGGAAAGTCAGTCGCTAAAATTTGCACGGTGCCGTTCAATCATTAACAAGGTTCCGTTAATGTCCCTCATTATCGTTCGTGGTGTAATCGACGATTCGCATCAGCCGCGGCGTCAGTTCACCTCCGACCATCGCGCGGCATGCTCATTTTGTTGCTTTAGACAATTTCTCGTCCTGAAATAACCCCTAAATTATTTGCCGTACGGTCGCTCGGGGACTATTCTGTATCGATTCCTCGAGTGACATTCGTGCCACCGGTGGTGCCGCAAAAATTTACGTCGATCGCGACATTAACCTTCACAATATTAAACATGCGCAGGAAGATACAATCAATATCACACATTTGATAGATTTTGATTAATTGGCTATCCTTCAGCTGATTACATGTGAATCGTAGTGGTATATTTTCCAGTTCTACAGTTGACCAATGTTTTGTGATTGCATTGGACTTTTATTATGTCTTTTAATTTGATATGACGCTGGTATTTCAACGGTATTTCTTTCTGACCGAATAATTCGCGTACATCCCGTTGGGCGGAATCGGTATCGTAACCGATAGCGCATAACGTGCGATCTCATCGAGGCGAGCCGAGAAATTGTTTATAGGTCCCTGAAGTGGGGGCCCCGCACCGGGCAAAATTATTCGCTGGGCGTCATAATAAATGCGTGTATGAAACGCTGCTTGGTGAGCGTTGTCAGTCGATCGCACGACGTTGACATCGCGAGAGTATCGCCGATTTTTCCTGATGGCTGTGTCGTTCAATTTGTAAACGCGTGAAGTTTCGGTGGACATTAATTATCGCCCTAGTTTCGCTCTATTAACTACTTCACCGTGTTATACGCTTCGTAACGACCGCGCTCGGGTATTTTGCGAGTTGCGAGTGCTGTGAAAAATGCAATTAAACTTCAGGGAATTGAGAAAATAGATTTAAGCTTATATGTAATTATAAATTTAAGGGAAATTTATAAAGCTCTCGCGTAAGGTAAAAATGTAAATTTTTTAATTTTTATTTAAAGTTTTATATGTCTTTGAGATAAGCTAGAAAATAAAATGATTATAATTATTAATTGTAGAAGAGATATATAAAATTACAATTTGAAAATATTTTGAAGACTAGATATTAAATAAAGAATATTTTGTAATATTCTATCAAGTTTAACATTAATTCTTTACATTTCAAATATTATTTATTACGTTGTCTATAAATTCATAAATCAAACACAACGAGCATTCTTCGCAAAAGTACATTTAATTTTGAAAGAGCGTTCGCTAATGTGAACGAGTTGCCAAAGAATAATTGTCGATTGCGTCGAGTTTCGAAGACGCAATGCAAGAAAGAACGCGTCTTTCGACCCTCCCTTCGTTTTTTTAAGATCGGAGCGAAACGTTCCGAAAGAATTCGATGACTTTTCGCCGCGGCGTCGCGCGGGCCTCGACCGGATTAAACTTGTACATTCCTGCAAGGAACCGAAGAAGCGAATCGATCGTGCGAGTCGTCTACAGTCCTTCGTTGCCTTTGATTCAGTAGTACTTCCAGTGATTTCTGCCTTGCGATAGTAGAAACATATCGAAGTTTGAGCAAATTGTCATCGATGACGAAATGATGTGAATGTCGTATCAATCTTTCTATTGCTTTTAACAGTGTAACACGAGCTGATTGCAGAGAGACATTACGAGATGAATGTAACGATATAATTTGTGAGAATTATACGAATACTAGAATTCCATCTCGGAGTTATTGATGACAAGATAATGTGAATCTGTCTTGCAAAATCCAGTTTCCACGCCGATTTTAGCACGCAATATGGGTTGGTTATCTCTCTGCGTTTGTGGCGCAAAAGGGAACTTTGACGACGAGAAGGCTAAGAAGAGCGGAAAACGCAAAAAATATAAGAAATCCAAGAAACATTTTGAACAGGAAGATTTCTCGCATAAAGCGCCGCCGCTTTCTATCGATGAGTCTTTGCTCAAATTACAAGATGAGCAGCAAATCGAAAAGGAAACTGTGAAAGATAGATGGACGAACGCGTCAGTTGTCGATCGTTTCGATGACTACGCTAAAAATCAGATTGACGGAAATAATCGAATTAGTCCAACGAAAATCGACGATTTGCCGAATAATCCTTGGTCTTATCAAATCCATGAAGATCGTGGGAACTTGGAGGAATCTCGCAAGAACTCGGAAAGAAGCGTGGACGAATCCGATCGGGAGACACGTGGTATCGATTACAACGCGGTGCTGCAGTCGAGATGTGCATTGAGCACAACTGACGAAGATGAGAAACAGGTCAAGTATATCTTGAACGAGAAAGAATACGACGAAAAGACTCTGGACGAGTCTATCTCGAGATCGGTGGCATCCGGAGAGCCCGAAGATTTATCGTGGACATCAGAAATTGAGGACAAACAGGATATGTTCGTAGAATCGAACATTGACAGGAAGTCCGAGGAGAGAACCTCCTCCAGGATTAATTTCTCCAAGGATCAAGAAAACTTGAAAGGGAAAATTTCATCAAGGAAGCAATCCAGAAACGTTCTTCCGCCGATCAAAGGAAGATCCTGCGTCGAGACGCGCAATTGCTTTGATGAGAAATCGCAAGGACACAAAGAGACGAATAAATTTGGTTTTAAGAAAACCCCGGTGCTTTGCGAACAGAGAGAGATTCGGCAGAAACTGAACTCGTGCAGTTTCGAGATTCGACCGTTCGAAGATGAAGAGCGAGGTGGAAAAACGAGAACCCACGGCGAGGGATCCATGATACCTAGACTTGCGTTCTCCACGCGACTTGATCGTGGGAATTCAATCAAGAGCGATAGGAATAAATCGAAAATTGTGCAAAACGGTACATCATAGTGCGAACAGCACAGAGCTTCGTAGGATATTTAATAAAAACATCGTGCAAAAAAGTAAAATTCTCGAATTTAGGAATAAAAAGATAATCTTTGTTGTAATTATTCTTAAAAAGTATTGATTCCAAATTTTATAATTTTTGGAATTTTGCATTCTCTTTACGATTAAAGGATAAGATCATTTTTAATTTATTTAATTTGGAAAATTTAATGATCTATTTATGATGCATATTTATAATCAGCATTTAAGTTGCTTTAGAAAGTTGCTTTAGAAGTCGCGATTACTGGAAATATTTTATGCTGTAATTTAAAACATCGCATGCTTGTCAGCATTGATGAATGCATTGGTTGAGTGATCATTATATCCGCATTATTACTGCAGTCCTAACATATTACAATGTACAATTTTTGTTTCAGGTCGCGTTCACTCAGCAGTCATCTCTGGTGTCAATTTAGACCAGCGCACCGTAACCGTAGAATGGTTCGAGAGAGGGGAAACCAAAGGCAAAGAGGTAAGTGCGCTCATAAATTACTCTATAGCATTTGCTACTGCATTAAAAGGTTACAAAATTAAAGTATTTTTTAAGTTGAAAATAAAATTTTATTGAAAAATTTTTACATTAAAGGACTAAAAGATTTATATAAGTCAAATGTATATTAGAAATTCTTAATTCTTCTTTTCTATCAGAATTAATTGGAATTGAGATAAAATTTAATTAATTAATTTTTTACACATATATTAAACAGAGAATAATATCGAGAATGTCTTTGTCAAAATAATATGAAAGTAGATGATTTTCCATCACAATCTTGTTTCGTGCTCTTTGCCAAAAAATACGTAATACCAAACATAGATCGCATGCACATGTTATCGTGTTTTCATTTGTTTAGCGTTTGTTAAAAATGCCACTATACGTTAATGTTCACAATCTCCAGTCGAATTGTAATATTTCAATTGTACACCATCGTAGGTCACGGTTATTTAGCTATTTTCAATTTTGTGCATTATGCAATGCCACGGGGCAGTCCGTTAATGGGAGCGCGAATCTATTTCCGACAGGCTTGATAGTCAGGTCTATCGTCAGTCAAGTCGGTTCGGCTGAGTGTGGCTTTTGCAAAAAGTCGCAACGCTTTACAGCGCGGAGATAAGACTTGTACAAACGCAATTTTTTTAATCAAGCATACAATAATCTTGTGTCTTGCTTCAATATAGCAAACTATGATGCGAATTTTGTTTAATTCTTCGTGACAAGTGTTTAATGTTAAATATTTATTTATTTTAAATCTGTTGCTTGGCTAGGAAGTTTTTTGGAGATTCTACTATTTTTATGCATAATTGTGCAGTATGCGTGATTAATTGTGTCGCAAAATATATGTTTGTTTACAAATAATGCATCAGCAAAAATTTATTTCGCGCCGAAAAGTAATTAATATGTCTAATTTGCTTAATTTGTTAAATATAGAATTCTAAATTTATTGCTCTCATACAAACAATGTTTGTTTTACTTTTATATATTGCAAGGTCAGGACGGAATAGATATTGAATTAATAATTATCAGATAATAATAGTTATCAGATAATACAAAATGATAAGTTTATTTGATAAAATGATAAGTTTACGTGATATCTATTAAAAGGAGTTGACAACCTAAAAATATTTAGATTCGTGTGCTTTTTTAGGTGGAGATCGACGCGATTCTCGCCCTGAATCGCGATTTGAACCAAAAGGTGATGGGACCACCACAGGCGATGAACGACCATATGTTAGCATCGAGGGCAAGGGTACGTATAATTTAAAGTTTTATTAAATAGTACTAACGGTCAAAGAATGCGTTTTGAATCATTTCCAAGTCTAATAAATATCCGTATAAACATCAGATTTGGAAGACACTATTGCATCCACTTTTATTTCTCTTAAATCATAAAAGTTTCTTAAAATTAAATTAGAATGCGTGTAAACAAATGTCGCCGACTTAATGGCACGATATAATGAAACTTGTTTCATCATATAAATATTATTTCATAATGAGTTCTATAAATTTGGAAATTGGAATGTATATTAATCTAACGAATTTCGACCAAGTAGATTAGCAATAAACAGTGCTATTAGGTGGTCTAGTTCGCGAGATACTCGTGATATTATTAATTTAGACGTTGATCTGTGAATGACGGGGGGTTGCCTGCTACTTCGTCGAATCGGGGTTTAAATGCATCCGCGTAAATTCCCGGTCGATCATCGACTGGCCCGGTGAATTCTGTTTACTGGTTGCCCGGGCTACGTGCGAATAACCTCGCTCCTAATATGGAAAGAATAATCCGATCCCACGTCTCGTAGCGTTTACACCGTGGTAGACATGTTCCAGTACTTGTACGTCTTTCAGGTAGGAGTCCCCGTCACTTGTAATCGACTTTCCACAGGTTTTTAAATTCGGCGCGATGATAATGCGACATCCGATCTTGTCACATCCCCGCCTTTTCCGTCACGTGGAGCGTCTAAACAAGCAATGTGCAGTACAAAATTTATATTGTGTGTTGACCTTTCTTTTTTGTTCTTCCTGAACCGAAGATTCATTCATGTAAATTTTGGTTTTATTCTAAAAGTTTTATTATGTGAATTTGAGTTCTTTATTAACAATACTTTTGGACAACATATGACAGTCACAGTGCGTTCAATATATATGCTACAAATGTCTCGAGAATAGCGTGCTTTTTCTGAAGCAAGGCTTTTGAATTATTTTTGGACTGAGAATGAGAACGTTTACTTCGAGTTTATTAAAGTCGATAAAAGTCGAATTTATCGACTTCTAGAATAGTCTGCATTTATACATGAAACAACAAAATTTATCAACTTTGAAGAATATGTCTAAGGTATTTAATATAGAATTTATTGTTCATGCAAAAAAAAGTTAGAATTTGGCAGAATCGACGACAGGATTGAAGGACCTTGAGTCCTGATTTGTACCCAGGATCCGAATGATAAGCACGAGTGTCCAAAGAATAATTTATAATTCTAGAAAATATATAAATTTTCTCGAGAAATACGTCAATCGGCGTAAGCTAAAGCTCGCGTATCGCTCTCTCACTAACATGGTAACACCTTTTTTTTCTCCATGGACGCTGCTCATAATCACGGACCTCGTGTCGACGATGGACCATCGACATCACTTCCGGGCAAAACCGGTTGATAACAAACCGATTTCGAAAACGAAACTCACGTCGTCTCGGCCATCGTTCATCCGCTCCACAAAATTGCCGTCTTTCTTGACGACTTTTCCCCTCATCGATTCCCTCGGCATCCTTTGTTTTGATCGGCGGGTTAATTGTTCGTCGATTGCGATTTACGTAAAATTGGCCGTGACTGCGACCTTCGGATAAAAGGAGCCGGACTCCTCGGCTGAGGAGGACGAGGGGGTCGACGAGTCGGAGAACCAAGAAGAGGGCTCCCTCGGACGCCATGGCGGTCACACCGCAAGAAACGGCCTCGCATCCGCAACGCTTCCTGTACGAGTCACATCTCGTCTCTCGGTAACGCGCACCTCTTCCCCCGCAACGACACAACAAAAATTACTGTAGCACACAATCCCTCACCATGTTCCGCAGACGCGATCCAATCGCCGAACTGATTAGCATTTTCGAAACACTCGGTTTTGCTACTTTCATGATATTCTTTTATATATCGCGAATCAATTTTTGTAAAAATTATTTACCCCGCGGAATGAAAATTTAGATAAGATTATGTAAAAGAGATCGGAACAATTGAATCAGAGTTCTTTGTTAAATTCATCGCAATAGATTTATTATTTACAGTCATTGCAATGCTCTAAACTTTTTGAAATTAACGCAAATTTTCCGTAAATATTTATATCGCGAAGTACTATTCTAAAAAATAAAACTGAGTTATATATATTATCTGAATTATTACAAGTTGAGTCGTGCACACAAATCTTGGAGTTTTGAGAAAACTTTATCGTACAAAAGATACTGAAAAAAAAAAAAGCGTTTGCTTTCTCTCGCACCTTCTCTCTATCACAAACCTAATATCGGCTTTTCCAAAACGCCCACCTACCAGAGCACCAGTCACCAACATTTCTTTTCACCCCGTCCGCACTCGATTTCGAATTTCGATCAAGTCTCGATGGATGGATATTCTAACGAACGGCCGATTGATTAACGGAGAGCTTTACAATGTTCATTTATTTTGATCCGTCGGACTGCGCGATTTCGTTGAACAAAATAAAAATTGCGCAGCGATTGCTCAATAACGAAGGTAGATTGAAAACCGTGTTATGGCGATCGATATATAAGAAGAACGCATGAGCGCTATTAAATGAGCGATCGATAAACTGTACTTTATCTCGCGTAACGTCTGCCAGAATGTCAGATTAATGACGCAGGTGTCGCGAAAAAAAAATGTATTATACACTTGGCTTCGAGAGAGAAGCACCGTTTTATTTTTTCATTTACAGCACTTTTTAGATGTAAATCAGTACACCCCTCTTCGCTGCACAAAACCATCACTATTCTCTTTAATCAAGTGGTTGAATGTAGTCTTTCTTTTTATTTCCAGCACTCCACCAGACCATCTATTCCAGTGAAAGGTATGTGGCAACAATATTGATTATCCTTTCCTATTTTGTCGTGCTTTGTTAAGTAAGCGGTATAGTTTACATTTTTAATTTTACCGAATTTTACCGCGAAAGAGAAGAGAGCGCGCGACATTTGTATTTTCGCGTTTCGGAAAGTTTCCACCGTAAAATGAAGCCTTGAATATCAGAATTGTAAATTGCATTACCAAAGCAATTAACACGAAGTTAGCGAAATCAGGCTAATTGTATGCGTTTACGCGCGGTCTTGCCAATATTTCTTCGCCGCTGTCGCGTTTAAAAAAAGGAAGATTAATGAGCACAGATTTCCGTAATTTTTTTATTTGCACGAATGAGCGCTCTATGATTTGTAGAACTTTCGCGCTCGATAAGTCAATTTCGTGGTCGGACACCGCAACGGAGCGGTCCCGGTGTGTGTCGTCGTTGCTTCACCTAAATAAACCAAGTAGCGACGAGGTGCTGCACGTGTGTGTATGGTCGAACCGTGACTATCGATATTCGTGCGCCGTATACGAAGCAGGTAGCACAAGGGCAAGGACCCCGGCGATACGGAGGAACATATAGCGCGACGTGTAGAGCACTCGCGAGCACTTGGGGGGTGCACCTCGCCGCTGCTCCTCATTGCTGACCCTCTCTCGGACACTGTTCGATCTACCCCGCCAGCAGTGCGCATTTCCCGGGCGAACGTCTTGCTTCGCTGATCGGTTTTTAAGAAATTCAAGAGATTTCGTACGTGCTCGCGTGTTCGCCCCGCCATGAGATTCGATCCGCTCGCCTATTGCTTCAAGAGAAAAAATAAGATTCGTAACAACGAAAATACAGACGTCGCCGGCGATAATCAGATCTTGACGCTTCGAATCGAAGACGATGACGCCGGTAATTTGTATGACCAATCTCGTTCTAGAGAGTTTTTCGCAATTTGGTTGCAATCGAATAAAAATGTGCGCTTTATTCTTTTGCAATTCTTATTCTAAAATCAGCATGAGGAGGAAGTAAGTGTAAAAGTAGTTTCGCGAGTTTTGTGAACACCAGGCAGCAGAATTTTGAAAACTTTTTAAAATTTTTATTCTTTTGTAATATCAAAAAAACACAGAAATGCTAAAAAAATTACGAGAAAAACCGAGCATAAAGTGCGATAAATTGTGTGAAGTTAAAAAGAATTCACGTTTGAATTTCGGTTGAATTCATATTCTTTGGAATTTTCATCAAAGTCAATTCGATCGTTATGCAATAAGGAGGACCGTACAGGCGACATTAATAATCTTCGTATCCTTGTTTCAGCTGGTTCAAATAGGCAATTGTCACGGCCGACCAGCCGTCCGACGAACATAATGTCATCGACTACGTCAGTGAACGGGCACGGTGACTCGGTTTCCGGACTCACTGGACGTCGGGAAGTCGAAAACATGTTGCCGACGCCGACGGCGATCACGCAATACAATCTAGCAACGTCGCTGCAAAACAAACAGCAGAAACAGGCGCAACAGCAGCAGCAGCAGCAACAACAGCAACAGCTGCAGCAGCAACAAACACAGGTGGAGAACGGTCGGAGTAAGCGGTCCAATGTCGTCAAGGAAGTCGAGAGACTGAAGAAGAATCGAGAGGAGAGAAGACAGCGGCAGGCGGAATTGAAAGAAGAGAAGGAAGCGTTGATGAACCTGGATCCAGGGAATCCGAATTGGGAGTTCCTCGCCATGATAAGGTTGATATTGACCTATGCATTTCGTCAATCAAACTTTACGTATTTCGATCAATATTTTGTTATTCTCCGCGACGAATCGATCGCGATGTTAGATATTAATCTTGTCGTATTTCACAGAGAATACCAGAACAGTATAGAGTTCAGACCGTTGCGGGAGACCGACGCCGTGGAGGATCACCAGATCACTGTGTGCGTGCGAAAGCGTCCGCTCAACAAGAAGGAGCACACGCGCAAGGAGATCGATGTGATCAGCGTGCCCAGCAAGGATCAAATGGTGGTGCACGAACCCAAGTCCAAGGTCGATCTCACTAAGTATCTCGAGAATCAGATCTTCAGATTTGATTACGCGTTCGACGAAACGTGCAACAACGAGATAGTGTACAAATACACGGCCAAGCCGTTGGTGCAAACGATCTTCGAGGGCGGTATGGCCACGTGTTTCGCGTACGGCCAGACCGGTAGCGGTAAAACTCACACCATGGGCGGCGACTTCAATGGTAAGACGCAGGACTGCAAGAAGGGCATCTACGCCATGGTTGCCAAAGACGTATTCAAGTGCCTGAAATTGGCAAAGTATCGGCCCCTGAATCTGGTCATTTCCGCTAGCTTCTTCGAGATCTATTCCGGCAAGGTGTTTGATCTCTTGGCGGACAAGGAGAAGCTGAGAGTCCTGGAAGATGGCAAACAGCAGGTTTGTGGTTCATACCGAAGTCAGAAGCTCGACTCGAGTTCGGCTTTGATCAAATTACTTGTATTTATTGACAGGTGCAAATAGTTGGCTTGACGGAAAAGGTTGTGGAAACTTGCGATGAGGTGCTAAAGTTAATACAGCACGGAAATAGCGCCAGAACGAGCGGTCAGACGAGCGCCAACTCCAACTCTTCGAGATCGCACGCGGTATTCCAAATAATAGCGCGTATCCCGGGAACGCACAAGGTGCACGGGAAGTTCTCGCTCATCGATCTCGCTGGTAATGAAAGGGGTGCTGACACGTCGTCTGCTAATAGACAGACTCGTGAGTAAATGTGTGCTTAATTATAAACAATGTGAAGCCGCGCGAATAGCTGCAATTAATGATTCAAACCCATCTTCGCCTTCTGACATTATTGTGATTTGAGATTTTGAAATTTTTAGGAATGGAAGGTGCTGAGATCAATAAATCTTTATTAGCGTTAAAAGAATGTATACGTGCGTTAAGCCGTAAGGGCACGCATTTGCCTTTTAGAGCGAGCAAATTGACTCAAGTGTTGAGGGACAGTTTTATCGGTGAAAAATCAAAGACATGCATGGTAAATTATTCGATAATTACAATCACAGTGGTATTGAGTGAGAAACGGACCAACATTCATTTACATTATAGATAGCAATGATTAGTCCTGGAATGAGTTCCTGCGAGCATTCCTTAAATACGTTGAGATACGCAGATCGGGTGAAGGAATTAGCGGCGACGGATCCTACAGAAATAAAAGCTTCGCCGACGGATGACGATCGGGGTATAAAGATCGAGGAACAGGCAAACAACAGTGTGTTATCGGATAGCGATTTAGCGCAGCTTCGATCTCTCAACGTGAGCAATTATATTTTTCGCATGCGTAAAGATTTTACACATTAAAAATGACACGAATAGTTAAATATTATTCGTAGATTGTTTATGAAACATATTTAAAGCAAAGTAACAGATAATTTTTTTTTTACAGGAAGGTGAACTATCACAAGATCTATACACCTTCCACGAAGCGGTATCCGCTCTGCAGTTGCTCGAAGAAGAAGTGTTGGATACACACAAATTGGTCATGGATGATACGACGAAATTCCTTAACGACTCCCACAGCTTGTTCAGTGCGACTCATGAAGTGGACTACGACCAAGAAGGTAAGACAAATTTGTTTCCACTTGTGTGTTTACGTTTTTCTATTCGCCTGTCGCGTTTGTTTCCACTTTTATTTCTTACATTGCATTCCGAACAATGCAAAAAGAATAAAATAAATGTTTTCGATGTGTTTTTCCCGTTTCACGTGATTATCACGCAACGAAAACATTCTTTTTTTTGGACATATCAAAGAAATTTATTTTCGAAAATCAAACGTTAATTTTAACATATTTTGAATAAGAGCTTTTAGTCGGTCAGGTTACTTGCGAAGATTTACATAGTAGACATTCGTAGGTAACATTTAATGATAAGTACGAATCTTCCTAAGTGATGATTTGTCACTTTTGTATTCTTTGAGATTAGTCTGCCAATAATTTATAATAGAAACTCTCAAAAAAGTACGAGATGCTGTACTTGCCGGTATCACAGTGCATGGCATTTTATGACAGATTCGCGCAGTAAGACTAAAGCAAATGCAATCGCCATGTTAAATCGCCAGCGGAGAGGCAGCGACTCGATAAGTGCGACGTTAATGATAAACGACGACACGGACAGCGATGAACAGATGGTCGTAAACGTGACGGGAGTAGGTAAAACCGCGCGGAATGTTTTCAAGTCACCCTGGAAGGATGAGACGGAGTCGAGAAGCGATGAAAGCTTGTACGACACTGAGGAGGATTTAAAAGCTCCCCCTTGCACACCTGTAAGATCCAATGTTAATACCAGGAGAAGCATAACGACGGGTCGAATTGCCAAAAGAAATTCAATTAATAAGAATACGCCCTTAACAGGGCGTTCAATTGAAAAATCTAATCAAAGTCAACGGATCAAATCCGGAAAAAAGAAATCACAAAAATATCATTGGTCCGGTAAATTTCATGCTAAAGCAAACCTGTTTCCTGAAGATACACCTGCTGAACTGTACGGGAACAATCATCTTACGAATTACAATTACACCAGCAAGGATTTCGAGAAAAAGAAACCGACGAACAAGGAAGACATTTTCTATTCAAATAAATTCGATCCGCGAACTAATTACGATTTGTGGAAAGATAAGCGAAAGATCGACGGCAATATCAACTTCCAGTCTTATACAATTGACTCTTGCACGAACAAATTTAATAAAGTTGATCATTTTAAAGACTACGATACCGAACAGCATAACGTCACAATGCCGGCAACGTTTTCTGACATTATTGTAACAATAAGACGAAAAACGAAAAATATAAATGATAAAAACGACATATACGATATTAACAAAGAGACTAAACTTTGTAATACCAAAGAATTCGCTGATTTTTCAAAGAATATTAAATTGAAAATTATTAATCCGCAAAAGCAATCTGCTATCCGATCACATTGCTGTAAAGTATGGCGTCTTCTATTGTCATTCTTGAAAAATGTTATTTTATTTTCACTGTTGCCCGGGGCGTATATTATGTTTTTCCTTTATTTACAAGGGACGGAAAATAAAACACAGAATGACATATAATTGTCTGCATAAGACAGTCATGCTTAAGTCAAGCTTAAGTGTTTAAATAATGGTTTTAATTTTATACTTTATATTAATTACATTTTTATAGGTTTATGTTACAATATATTGAAATTTACGTTTTTTATTTTTTGTAAAAATATTATACTAGTGTAAAAGATTATCTGGAATGTTATTATATAATTTTAATTTTATAAAAGTGCATCTTTTTAGTTTTAGCACTTGCTGTTTGAGCACTGATTGTTTGAGCACTTGTTGTTTAAAATTAGCATGTCTTCAACACTAATTCTGTGTGTGCTGTAGTAATATTACATTAAGTATATTTTGATTTTACAATCGCATTTCTTCTGCAAAGCGCAGCACTCATCGTTTAGTTTATTTTAATATAATATTTGTTACGAAATGTATAATATTTGCATAAACATATCATAGATATTTTAAACTACGTCACTCTTTTATCAAGTTTAATAATATTAATAATTTTTATAAGAAAGCGACTAAAAGGGCATATACTGTTTTATTTTGTATATATCGCCAATCAAAGTTTTTTATATGCCTATGTATTACTTTAAAAAATATATCGCATTGTATCTATAAAAGAAATTTGATGTAATACCAGAAAACCTTACAGATTTGAGGCGGAAAAGAACAAAGTTTGAGTCACCCTACCTGAGGAGTTTCTCGTTGCGTAGACGTCTTATAGAAAGAAAACTATTTTCCGATGGTACGACAATTATTCGATTAACAATTTTATAAAATAATTTCAAAAGAAGCAGCAGCTTATTTTAATGTGCACCATATGTATACTAATGATACGCGTCACATTATTTTTTTCATTGATATCATATAAGCATTTCGATTGAAAAAAATATATCCCCAAAAAATAATATTTTTTAACAATTCTATATTTGGAATCTTATTTGATATTCAATTTGTAACGTCAAAAAAGGAATTTTCTTCTCATTTACTTAAAGAAAAGAACTTTATTTCTCACTTTTATCAGATTTATATTGTGCATCAAAATCATTCAATTATTAGGACAATTGAATCATTTGATGAGTGTTCTTTAACTGAATTCTTCATTAATATAAAGAATGATAAAATTGAACTGTATTGTTCTTCCGATATCAGACTCAAACCCTGTGCAACTACATCACATAGATGACGCAATTGTGATATATAAAAACGGTAAAAAATGTTTTTGCAGCAACACTACAATATTAAAAATAAAAATCATATTTTACATGCTTTTCTTGCTACACGAACAAAGATCCTGGGAGGGTAAACTCAACATTTTTCTTTTCTTTTATCGCAGTTACATATTCTATCGTATTTTATTAAATATCATGTACAATAGTATCGTGTTGAATAAAATATTAAATAATCTTATATATGTGTGCTTCGAAAATTGAATTTGATTTTGTAGGACATTAACAGTGCTGTATATAAAATATGATTAATGCGTATATCTTTGAGCACATCATTTCATGTATATATATAATATATGCGAGGTGTAACTCTGTTAATAAATGTTATTTTTGTGGATTATTGAGCTGATTATAGTGTCACATTAAGCTTAATTACACGTGATCATGTTCATAATTACTCAATGAGTCTGGGTTGTGCTCCGCTTAAGCTTCAATTTGTGTAATAGTATCTGTAATGGTATCTGTTTAATTATGTTCATATGTATGTATGTATAAATAACAACTCAATTCCATAACTCAAAGTGTTTGAAGACTGGCCCATACGCAACTAAATATAAAAATAGCAGCTTTTATTTACAGCTGGGAAATATAGTTAAGTGATTTAAATTTAGATTGCTTCATATATTATCAAGTTACTAACGATTATCTTTTAATTAACATTGTAATTCCTGTTTTACGGACTTTATTGTCATATTGTTTTTGTTTTCCTTAATATACTGCTAAGATTATAAAATATATTATATATTTATATATAATAACAAAATTGTTACATTTCTAATTAGACAAATTAAAATGACAATAAAACCCGACAACAGATATATGCCTATTAGCTAGGTTTTAAAGTGATACTGTAAAGCTAAATAATGATGCTGAAATAAAACATGAAATATAGCTTCGGCGTACACTTGTAACACAATTATCTCTGTATATGCGATATTTGGTCCTTAACTTTGTTAAACTGTGTTTAATCATGGTTTTGGGTGCTCTGACAAGTGTGCCTGTTATCTGTTGCAGTATATGCCCAAAAGTGGGAGCAGTTGCTAATACAGCAACGTGACAATCTAAACATCGCGCTCGATCAAGTGAGCCAGTTCCGCGGGCAACTGTTGCAAGAAGAACAAATCAGTCAAAAGATGACCCGAACGCGCAACGTTTCAACGCGATACAATTAAGGATGCGGTATAACTTTTTAGCAAATGCGAAAAAAAAAACATATATTATATATTATATATTATATATTCTGATTTCATAATTGATGTGTTTATTATTCGTGGTGCTTTGCATTTTGAAAACAGAAAAATGATAACATATGAATGCGTATCAACGCATTGTTCACGGCTTAAAATTTCTGCGGTAGCAAGAAGGCCTCAAAAAGATGTATAGCGCGAAAAAAGACACAAGAATAATTATCTCTCTTATTGGTTCTTATGTTATCAATCTTAATTATATATAATATATAATATATATTATATATATCTGGTTTCTCGTAATAATATTATATTTACCATTTTATACCTAAGAAATAAGTGTTATTCAGATTACGTATTTTGTGTTCTTATTCGTGATAATTCATTTCGAAGGTAGACAGATGGTACACAAATACGTATCGACGCATTATTGACGGCTTAAAGTTTCATTTTTTGTGCAACTCCAAAAAGAAACTTGGTGTAGATAAAGGTAAGAATAATTATTTGTTATTGGTTCTTATGTGTTTTTGATCTTTATCATATTACACATTATATATTATACATATTATGTATGTAATATGATCAAAATCGAGAATCATAAGAACCGGTGAGACATAATTACTCTTGTGTCTACTTACATCACGTTTTATATCTTTTTAGAGTTGCACCGAGATTGTCACAGAAATTTTAAGCTGTCAATAATGTGTCTGTATGCATTCGTGTACCACTTGTCTGTTTTCGACATAAAAGTATCGCTATAAATAATAACACAAATTACGAAATCAGAATAACGATTCTTTTCAGGCTATAGAATTCTAAATGTACTATTATTACGAGAGATCCAGTGTTATTACTGAACGGAGGAAGAAAAAGCCTTAGTTAGCCGATTTGCCAGAAAGAACAGAAATATATCACGACGATACTACATTCATTCACACACGCATACATACGAACAAGCATAGTGATCGATATTCGTAAACCAAATAACGACTGATTTCGAGAAAAAAAATGTAACTGTTAGCTCGTAAGAAGAAAACTGCACAGCGGCGTTTAGCCAGCCCCGGATGTTTAAGTTTCTTAGTATTAATATCGTTGATGGCATAGAAGAACGGTCCTTTTTTCTTACGTTATTAAAAATATGAGATTAAAATCTTCATTTGATTTGTCAAATACATATTCTTGTGTTTTCTTCCCCACTCTACTGAAACACTCACAGAATGGTTTTAACGTGCGTGTAAATTTTACGTCCAATGAAACACCGTCGATTTTTATCACAATTATAACTACTTGCGTAAAGCTTGTGAATTTTACGCTTCACGGACATATTGTCTTCTTTCGACGAAAAAAAAAATCAAATTTTGCTTCGTAAAATCTCATGTTTTCCAGTTTTTCATCATTGCACTATAGACCATAGAGAATTAAGAAAATCAATATAATGCGTGAATCACACATTGCAGTTTATCTCTCTCTCTCTCTCTTGAAAATTTCATTCTAAATATCCCATTCCTGTGTAAAGCTCTCGTGTTGGACTTGCGAGGAATGAACGTTTAACAAGGTGCGATTTTTACCTAAATATATATATATATAAAATACTCATAGCACGAAGTTGTAAAAAAATGTTTAAATCTATTGTTAAAGCAAAAGTAAATGATATGATTATATCTGCCGCCGAGGGCATTCTTTTAATTTAATTTAATATCGAGTATTTATAATAACCCGAAGCTGCGAGTCTATTACTATGCTTTACTTGTTGAAAGTTTGTTGAAAACGTTCTTTGTTACATATCCGATGTTTCTCGATGGCTAATAAGTATGTATCGTCTAAATTAATGAATATTGAACGTTTTCGATGTAATTTACTGCTCTCAAGCATAGTTGAAGCATATAAATAATTCTATCGTCGAGATTTATAATTGGCCGAACTTTTTTTAGACTGTAAAACAATTGCATTTTATCGTCTTAAATATAGTATTTTTTCAATAAATAGTGGGCGTAATAGGCGAAGCTGAACGATCGAGAGATGTTAATATATTTCTTATTTTTTTATAATCAAATAATTTATGCAGAAGGAGATGAGAAATCAAACACAACACGTATCCTCTTGCCCCCTTTTCCCCGATATATGTCGTACTTAGCAATTGATCTCCAATTATTTTAATTCAATGTGCACAGAAAGATTTTTGGATACGTATGAGCTTTATGAATGAACGTTGTTGCTTTATGAATGAAATAAATTAAATTGAAAAATAAAAATTATCCTATAGCTTCTCATATTATCTTGCTTAGCGTACCTCAACAAGACTGATTACGTTCAAAAGAACAACGCGATTGTGCAACAATAATAGATAGAAATAATTTAACTATTTTCGTACTTCTTATGTTACAACGCATTGTAGAAGAAAATTCCACGAGATATTTAATCGAATTGTGTTTAATCGAGTAATAATTATATACGATACTTTCATGATTTCAAGATGCGGACGAAGGAATTCGGGATGGAGCGGATCGCCAAATGCATAGTTATGAAACAAATACAACCATCATGTTTAATCGCACATAGGTACACAGATAGACATTACTTTTATTTCGTACTTGGTAGAACTGCACAAGACAATATTATCAGAAATGCATGTGTAAACAGCATAGGTAAAGGCGCGTAAACGTGACCGCTGCGTGAACACGCAGCTTTTTATAATATATCGAACAATACACAGCTGGTCACAAAAGATTTGCCTTAAGAATCTTCGGCGTTCTTTTTTTTTTCTACTAGGCATCTAAAAATTTTATCCAGCCTATCTCAAAGCGACGAGAATCTTTTATCAGGGTAATATACATACACATATGCCGAAACATATTTAGATACTTGGATACTTTCCGTAGCAATGGAGTGCATCTGTATACATAATCTATTTGGATTATCAATCATTTATACTAGTTTTTTTTCCGCTGAATCGATTTCTTATCGCATAACATGACGCATAACACATACAAGATAAAACACTTTATCATTTCTCATCTATACACAATGTCTTTTTTCTTTTATATAAAGAAAAAAATAAAAACGTGCGGCAAGAAAATAAAATGTATTACACTAATGCCAATGCATTAACAGAGGAGATGGCTATACAAATCGAGGAGGCTCATGTGCCTACGTCGTTTGGTGACAGTTTGGACAGTGAACACGATGCAGCCACATGAGCGTATCGAGAAACCGCACAAGAAGGGAAGAAAAATTGGCCATTATCTTCTCTAACGGTATATATAACGTGGGAATGGATTCCGAAGACATGCTTTTACAAGGCTAACGAGATTTATATATACAGTCACTGACATGCGGAATATCGCAAGCCCGTTTTCAAAATTTTCCTTCGCATTTCAATTGCTTTACATCACTTTACATTAACAGACTTTTCCATTAAAAAGAAAAACCAGGCGTTTTAAAATTAATAAATGAATTTCTAAAAGCATTCCGCGATAATGAAACAATAATTTACAATAGCTCTTAAAATGTTAATAAAAAACTTGTACTTATTATAGAAATTAATATGCAATTACCTGATATAACATATGAATGTATTTTAAAATCGACACAAGTCGATAATGCATTGGTTGGCTATTTGTTTGTTGCACTTTGTAATGTATACATTATCGAGGCGTTCAATTTTTTTATATATAAGGCACGAGAATTTCCAAAATAGCTTTAACTCAAAATCTGTTTCATGTCACACGATTGCGATGAATGCTATTGTCAGATTAGATAGACATTAGATGAACAAAATTTGATATCAGGCACTTATGTCTGAACGTGTAACTGTATGTATACTTCGATGTGACATTATAACGTAAATACAGAACTATCTCGTTTATTTTACAACTATAATTGAAGGGAATTTTTATACAATTTTTCTTTTTCAGTTGGAGAAATTTCTATGCGTTTTCGGACGCATTGGGTCGATTTTTACTATACATTTCAGAGAAATTGCAGATAATATATTATGGCATCTTAAATGACTACATATAATATAAAAGGCATTCAAGGCACAAACTTGGATGGCACGCAACAACAAGGTATATTAATCAATCT